ACACACACACACACACACACACACACACACACACACACACACACACACACACACACACACACGCACGCACGCAACCATACTAACTCTTCATGCATAGTCTGCCGCAAATCGCATTTAGTAAGGACGCCCACCTCTCGTCATCCTCGTTCTTTCATCTTAAAATAGCTCGCGTCCACCTGTCGACATCTCCGTTCTTCGGCCTTAAAATAGCAGCTCGCGCAACGACGCGCACCCATCAACAGGACAGGAACGCCCACACACATTCGTGTGCGCGCATCAACGCATTCACAGCAAAAAATGAAATAAAAAAATCCCAACCAAAACAAATTCAATTCATATAAAAACAATCTGAATCGAGGTCGGGGACCTCAGAATTCAACCGAATTTAAATTCACAGCAAAAGATCACATCAGTGGAAACGAGAGAGACATTTCCTAAAATAAATTTAAACACACACACACACACACACACACACACACACACACAAGAGAGACCGAGAGAGAGGGAGGAGACATTGGGGGAGGGAGGGACTGTAGAGAAGAAGAGGCCTAGAGAGAAACGCGGTCAGGCAAAAAATCAATCAATTAACCTCCCCACTCGGCACTTACTTTTTTCTTGTCGTCAACTTTATCCACCTTGGCGCCCGCGCCTTTCCCATTCCCGCTTGTCGTTGGCGCAAGTGCCGCCGCCGCCTCCTTCTGACCTGGCACCACTGGCTGCGGCCTCAGCAGCTGATCGAGCGCCGAACTCTGTCGGCTACCTCCCCCGGGCCGCGTCGTGACCTTCGTTCCCGCCAAAACCGGTCCATTTGCCGCCGCCGCCGCCGCCGCCCATCCAGCCTGTCCATCGCGGTTGGCGTCACCACCCAGTGCCCCCGCATTGACTCGACCTCCCGCGCGATCGACAAGCGCGCTGCTGCTCTCTTTTCCCGCCAAACGTGCGCTCGAATTGAGTCCTGCTCCTGCGTGACACGAGGCGGCTCCACGTTTCGCGATATCCCACCCGCTTGATTGCCTCGTTCGCAGGCCGGGATCTATTGGCGCTGAGCAGAGACTGGGGTTAAAATGGACTCCCAATCGCGCCCCCACCGCCATCGTCCCGCCAGTACCACGTCCTCCTCACTTTCCTAAATCGGCACAAAATCTTTCCTTCTTTGCCAGAAAGACCTCTCCTACATCGGACTACACCCAACTACGCCACCAACTTCAGACCGACATTCACCATCACCATTTTCGACCAGACACCTCGTCCTCCCCCCCCCCCCCCCCCCCCCCCGCCCTTTTCCCTTCTGTATATCACCCCCCACGTGCGCGACAGGCACACAAGCCGCGAAGACTTCCTTCCTATCTAGAGGTGGTGTCTGGCGGGCTGCCGATTTTTACAAGGTGGGTAAGCACTCTCTGACGTGGCTGGCCTGGCGCAAAGGAAAAGGCCAAGCGACCGACTACGGACCAAGAAGAGAAGAGGACAGCGCGATCTCGACGTGCTCCGGGTGCGCGCGGACGCCCGTTCCCCTCTACTCCGCACACTCAAGGCCTTACTGCCTTGGCTGCATCCGACCGTTCTGCGTTCACGAATCTGACCGTAATTCAAACCAGGGTCTTTGGAACTAAAGCAATGGCGACATTTCGTCCGGCAAAAGTTCCTCCCGCGCCTCTACCTCTTGTCCTCCCGCTTCCTTCGCCTCTTCGTTCTCCTTTCCTCCCCCGCCTCCCGCTTCCTTCGCCTCTTCGTTCTCCTTTCCTCCCCCGCCGGCTTTCGCTCGCACGACCACGTGGCACAACTTATTCGACACTTGGCTAAACAAAGACAACTGCTGGCTGTCAGCATTTCACCATCTCCATGCCGATCCCGTGCCACGTCGACCCCTGTGAACTTCTACGGCCTGCCGAGACGTGCCGAATACGACAAAAACCGTAGTCCGTCTCCCCCCACATCAGTTCTCCGCAAGTGCGCTCGCGGCCAAAAAATTAGAGAACAACGGCTCTTATTTACCAAAAAAAGGGGATCTTGCTTCTTCCTACCGGTAGCCCACCGGGGGGTCCCTGAGGGCGCCCTAACCTGTTGTTTGTTGTGTTTCGACTTTGTCGCCGCTCAATTTCTGTCCCGTCTTGTTCTTCTCCCCCGCCCGTTTCTCCGTCTTTTTTTTTTTGTTTTTTTGGTTTAGGTTTTTGGGAAAAGTTTCTCCGTCTTGTTCTTCTCCCGCGCCCATACTTCCCCAAAGGGAAAAGGTTGTCCGCCACCACCTCCAGCCAAATGCCGAAACGGCGAACGTATCTGGTCAGTTTTCACATTCACATTTTGGCGACTGGTGCTGGCCCTGACGAGTCCTGTTCCGCGCTCAGTTCGGATCTGGACCTGAGGGCACACAGGTGCATGATACTTCCCAAGAAGCCCCAAGGGCAACGCATTTTCTTTTTTTCACATGATACTCAATTCGTTGGGCCTCGCTGCACTACTCTCCACATGCATCCAGCGGCCTAGCTCAGTTGGTAAGGCACGCAAGTGGCATTCAGGAGGTCTTGGGTTCAATCCCCATGCCTCATGTACCTTCCTGGGCAAGCTTGGCGCTCTCCACCTAGAGATATGCCGTTGGTCCCCCCGAGTGACATTGAGCAGAGACTGCTGATGTTCATAGGGGGAGGGGACCACCACCTGAGGGGAGACAAAGTGACTGACCCATCGAAGAAGCTACTGACCCCTGGCCGGTACGGACCTGCTGGTGGGTGCAGCTCCCGCATGTTCCCTCGTTGGAGGCTTGAGCACGGGGGCAAGGTCCCACTTGCGCAAATTAGGAGATTTCGGCCGTTGATCTTTGCTATCGACGGTCAGTATCTCTTAATTCGTGCAAGTGGGACCTAGCCCCGGATGTGGCTGCTACGGGGTTCCCCGTAATACTATAAGGACAATAAAAAAAGGCCTGAAAGGCCGTCCTGTCCAGAATTAGCCTTTGAAAAAAAAAAAAAAAAAAAAAAAAAAAAACTCTCCACATGCACAACAGACAAAACATACGGCGGCGCATCTTTCCATGTTCTAGCCGAAGATTCATTCTCATTTTGCACATTTGGAGAGTGCAGCGAGTCCCATTATAATTTCAAACCGAGGCCGGGGACCTCACAAGTCAACCCGGGGTACTGACAGCATCAGTCAGCTTAGCTTACAGGCATTTATTTGCCTGTAAACTCGCATCTACTGAGGGCCTCGTTCGAAACCACTACAAAGGGCCTCGTTCGACACCACTAGAGAACCCTAGAGTCTCAAGTGCGCCCTAACCCGAAAATCGTGATTACAAAATACTTACTGCAATCTTCTTTCCATGTGCACTTCACAAAATACTTGAAACAGCCCCACTCAACAGGTTTCGGGAGCCTGCTAATGACCACGTGGGGAAACCCTGCAGAAACGGAGGGGAACAGAAGACGCAGAACTACGAGACTGGCAACAGAAGAAGTACAGGGGATCCAACAGCAGCCCGCTCAGACAAGCACTGATGCCCAGCCTTAGGATTGCCTCTTGGAACGTTCGAGGTCTGAGAGACTCTACCGGCAGACACAAGAAGCCACGCCTGACGACCTGGTGCCACAAACAGAAGCTGGATGTCATCTTTCTCCAGGAGACAAAGCTCGACGAGGAAAAGCTGCTGCGACAGGTGGAGAGGGCCCCAGCTGTGGGCCCCTGCCGATGGCGCACGGGGAGGCTGTGCAACACTGTTGCACAGGCAACTGGACGCTGAGATCATGGACCACGACGGAGACATATGGGAACATTGGCTGCTGCGACACGCTACCTGGTGGAGAGGGCCCCAGCTGTAAGCCCCTGCCGATGGCGCACGGGGAGGCTGTGCAATACTGTTGCACAGGCAACTGGAAGCTGAGATCATGGACCAGGACGCAGACATAGGGGGACATTGGCTGCTGCGACACGCTACCTGGTGGAGAGGGCCCAAGCTGTGGGCCCGTGCCGATGGCGCACGGGGAGGCTGTGCAATACTGTTGCACAGGCAACTGGGCGCTGAGATCATGGACCAGGACGCAGACATATGGGGACATTGGGCCTGGATGCGGATACAGATAGGGGAAGAGGCTTGGCTGTTCATGACAGTTTATGTGCCCTCCCACGGAATGCAGGTCTTTCCTGGAGGAACTGCCCACAATAATGGCAGCTTCGGATCCTGGCAGGTGACTTCAACACCATTCTCACGCCTGGCCTTGACTCTCCAGATGTGGCTCCAAGGAAAACAGACGCTGTGATGCGAACCAATTTTATGTCTGAACACGGTTTTACCGACTCCTATCGAATCACCCATCCAACCGAGCCACGCTTCACCTGGTTCTCGTCGCAGTGGACCGGAGACCGCCCTCCCCCCAAACGACGACTAGATCTGGTACTTACCAAGGGAAGAGCCTAGGCTGCCCTGGCCTCTATCAACTGTGTAATAGAGTCTATCTCAGACCACCGCCCCCTCGTGGCGGCCTTACAGACTGGGTCGCAGCGCACTGGAGGAACTGGAAACAAACCAAGGACGACTTCGAAACAGAGGAACTGTGGCTACAGACAGGGTTCAGAATCACCACCAGGGCCCTTGACGTCTTTTCAAGAATGCAGGCTAGAGGACGAAGGCAGCAAGAACAAGACTGCAGAAGGATGATCGCTGAAGCAGAAGTAGAACTAGAAGCGCACCCCTTGGCAGTATTGTATTGGCAGCACAGAAGGGATCGCTGACTTCAAAAGCTGGAGGACATCCAAGTTGAGCAGCACGTGATTTGGGCATAGAGGGCCCAGGAGAAGGGACTGATTACTGCAGACCGCATATCCAACTTGAAGGAGACCTTCCAGCACATATGCCCTCGAAGGTAGAATGCACTAATTAGAGAACTCCATCATCCCTTCTACCCGGAAGCTGCTCCAGCAAGAGAATCTGCGACAATTGGAGAGTATGCACTTACCTACTTCCAAGACATCCTAACCTCAAGAAGAGACTCTGATCTCTCACTACAACAGCTGAAGGAGGAACGCGATCTGTGGCAGTACACAGCAGTGAAGCTGTCTCCCGAAGGAAGACTAAAGCTCGAAGAGCCCTTCACACTCGAGAAGCTATGGGCAGCAGCCAAAAGCATGGCGCACGGTAAACTTGAAAGTCTGGGATGAGATGGACTGTTGGTAGAATTCTACGAGGCCACGTGGACCTACATCGGTCATGAGCTCCTCGCCCTCTACAACAGGATTTTGGAAGGGGGAACAATGACTGAAGACATGAAAAAGGGCATCATCACACTCATCTACAAGAAGGGGGATAAGTGCAACATGAGAAACTGGCGTCCCATTTCCTGGCTTAATGTGTCATACAAGATTCTGGTGAAACTGTTAGCCAGAAGACTGTACCCCTACCTTCCGCATCTGCTACATCCAGACTAGGGGGCCTTTGTTCAAGGGTGTTCCATTGCAGATAATATAATGATGGTTGTAGGGGCAGTCGAGATCGTCCAGCGGCAGAATAGGCAAGTACTGGTCGCAATGTTGGACCTCGAAAAGGCCTACGACCGAGTCAACTGGTCCTTTGTACACGCTACACTGGAGCATATGGGATTCGGCACGAGATTTCACAAATGGGTGAAGGAGCTCTACCTCAACTCGACGGCGACCATCAAAATCAACGGGTTCCAATCTTTCTCCTTCTCCCTGGCAAGGTCACTCCGCCAAGGCTGCCCACTCGCTTCCCTGCTCTTCAGCTCACAGGGCAAGACTGGGGGATGAGGAGAATACCCTAGCAGGTGCCAGTCCAAAACAGGAGTTCATCCTGCAAGCGAGAACTAGAGCATGCCTGCAAAAATCCAAAACAGTAGTTGGCATATCATTGTTGGGGCGAGCTATCCTGATCACTTCCGCAGTCTTCGCCCAACTGTGGTTTGTGGCATCGGTTTGTCTAATCACTTAGCCCACAGTCAAAGTCCTCACAACTGACACGGCTCGCTATTTATGGAAACTGTCGACGAAGGAAGGTCAAGGCTTTATCTCCAAATGCGTCTGGTCAAAGGTCTACATAACAAAACAAGAAGCGGGAATAAGTGTGGTCGACCCCAGAAGCCATAACCTTGCACTGATAATGAAATGGCTGCTAAAAGTCACCCTTCAAACTAAACGAAGATCGTGGTTGGCCATCTTGGAGTACATACTCCAGCAGGAACTCTCCCTGCTGCGTAGAGAAGACATTTGGACCTGCATCTTTTTGACCTCCTTCGCCAATAGGCAATTGAGGTCTCCAATCGTGAAAGTCTGTTGGACGGCCTGGAGGTGTTTGCTGCCTACACACAGGAAGATTTTTACAACACGAGAAAAAATCCTCCGACATAACATCTTTGACAACGAGATTATCAACAACAGGCACGGAGCCCCCTTCGCAGCTACCGCCTCACCAGGCAACTTCAGGCGAAAATGGTGTGAAAGAGGTGTCTCTAACTTTCAGGACATCTGGGACGAAGAGAGGAGAGACTGACGCACAGCGGATCAGCTGAAGACCAAACTAGGACGATGCCAACATATGGCAAACCGGATCTCCCAAATTCAAGAAGCCATTCCCCCGCACTGGTTACAACTACTACATTCCATAGACCCTGTGATTGGAGGATGGTATATGCTACCCCAAGACCAGGAACCAAGATTTGCGCTTCGCATCATCCAGCAATTGGATGACAACACCCGGCTAGCTCAACAATGGTCCCTAACAGAAGAAGGTCCCAATCAAGATAGGCTCTAGCTCCAAAAAGAGGTGGTGATTAGACTGGAGCAGCAACCTCAACTGATCCGAGTTGATGCCAACTCCTCTAATGGATTACCCACATACGACATCCTGCTC